GAAAACATAAAGAAACAAGCAACAAATACTAGCCTGTTAACAGCAATTTGTTTCTTTTATATAATTTTTGTCTTGTTTTGGTATTCAAAGCTCGCATTTTGCGTGCTCTTTGGGCTATGATTTCAGAGGATAAAGAAAATGTGTGAACAAGCGACCTCTTAGAGAAAAGCAACAACGACAACAACGATGTTGTTGTTGCTTTTGCTAGCAATAATATTAAACAACATCAAACTCAGTTTAAATACAAAATCTCTTACAAAAAATCTTGAAAGCTAAAGAGTTCAATTTCAGAAAGGATTTCGTTTTGCTGAAAGGAAGTATTATTCATCGCACCCTTAATGTTATTTCTCCGAAAAAAAACAAACGAATGTTATCAATGCTCGCCCTTTTATAAAAGGTCTACGGTAAAAGTACGAATCTGCATGGGTATTTCCAGCTTTATCAGTTTGGAAATGAGATGATATTGCATACTTATCCTGGTTCATTTATTTTGTTTTCATTTTAGAGTTTAGGAGAGGTAAATTGTTTATTATTGGTTCAATAATTTTCTTCTTACTGTCTTTCAATATTCACGTTTACACTACACAGTGGATATGTATATTTGTTTGAATGGAGCAAATATATTTATTTATTATATGGCAGAGTAGTCTGATTGGTTTTTACTTGGTCGCCTTACGGACTGTTTCCATGGAGACGGTTATATGCTGTATATTTTTGTTCTCAAAAGCCGCCAAATTCAAATCTCCAACAAAAATTGAAACGTTGTTTATAAAGATTGAGCTTTCAGAGGTTAAAGAAAATTGTGAAGAAGTTACTTAAAAAGGAGAGCAGCAAAATGAAACTCAGTTCAAATGCAAAATCTTAGTCTTTAATTTGCTCTTGAGGGGCTTTGTACTCTTGTAGATTTATGCATTAAATAAATTATTGAAAGGATGCAGTTCAGTATCGGTAGATATTTCGTTTTCGCTTGGAAAAAATTATTATTCATCGCACTCTCCCTGTTATTTCTCCGAAAAAAACCTCGCTGCCGTAAATGCTCGTTCTTTTATAAAGGGTTCGAGGTGCCTAATTCTAAACGTACATATCATGTGAAAATTCAGGTTTTCCTCTGCATGAATATTTCAGCGATATCAGTTTGGAGGTGATACGATTTTGAATACCTTATTTGAGTAAGTTGTTTATTATCGGTTTAGTAATTTTCTTCTAACAGTGTTTCAATATTCACAATATGAACTACGCCGTCAGGTGGATATGTGTGTTTCTTTGGATAGAGCCTATGTATCCAGTAAATAAAAAAAGGAGCACGGTCGTTATATTTTTTAGCCATCTGGTTGGCTAAACGGAGCTAGGTTATCAGCATTTAATCTAGTTCCGATCTCTAGCTCCGATAAATAAGGTCAATAAATTCGTCAGAGAAGTGAGAAAAATATTTCTGCGAGCAACTGCGGGGAAAATCGGTTTTCCTCAGAGCTTACAATTTCGAAAGTAGCAGAACTAACATGAAATGCTTGTTATTTCCTTATTTTTCTTTTATTTCGAAGAGCAGAGGGATATTTTCACATTGAAAGCGACTGTAAAAATTTCGTGGCTGGTATGACGCGGCGTTTCGTCTCGGCCAAGGGACTTGTCAGATACTCTTCGTATATTTCAAGCGAACTCGTCGAGCATCGCGCTTTCAGTCCGTTCGCCAAGTCAAGATGTTAGCAGGCTGGCCCTCTGCCGATTCTCATTGATTCTGTAACTAAAATTAAATAAACGCCTAACTGGTTATAACATTCTATTCGCTAAATATGTAAAAATTCCTGCTGGGCGGCCTCCATTTTTCAAAGCTCAAAAATCTGATTTAGCATATTTTGGCGATGTTTACATCGTATGTTCTCAACAGAAAAGTTTAAAACACATGGAAAGTACATGGCTTTAAAAGAAGGGTCTCTTATGAGCAATATCCCCGAGAGAAATATTGTTTCTGGCTGTTATCTTTTAAGAAGAAATTGACCAGCTTTTCTGAGGACTACTCGACGTAACCATAAATATCTAACCCAAATCGTGTGCATATCTCCAGATACCGAGTGCCGTACATTCTTCCGTGGGAATTTGAAGAACACAAAATCCTCCGGCGATACACTGTTAACTTTTATTCACGTAAATAATACACACTTAGTTTTTGGAGAATATTTTTAAAGGTAAATTAGTGTTCTATTATGACAACATCTCAGGGGTGAGGCTAATGCCTATAAAAGGATGATGCATTCTACAGCTACCAGATGTGTGAATTCTTTATGTCATATCAGTAAGGGATTGAGATGACTTTGCAAACCTTATCATAATTCGTCATTTTGTTTTCATTCCAGAGTACACGAGGAAGATCCGAGGTAATTTATTAGTTATCTATGATAATGAATCTTGGTAATTGGATATATATGTAAGTTTGATGAAAGTAAATGTATTCAGTTATGAACTCCATATTTTTTAAACTCATTTTCCTGGAGCACATTCTATTGTGTTAAACTGATTTAAGCATCTCAGTGTAAATATATAATTGGCCTTGAGCTAACGTATCTCTCTTTATAATTCCACGCTTTCGCAGATCTTCGGCATCGTTCAGGAATGTAAAGAATTTTTTTATTTTTCTTACATTTCCTGACGATACCGTAGATCGGCGAAAGCTTGGAATAAGAAATACAGTTACTCAAGGCTTCAATCTAATCGTCCACTTGCCTGGTTTTTTGGGCCTGTAAATATATATGTTGTGGGTCAATTTTATCCTTGGTTCAAATTTTATATTCTTTTGTTTTTGGGTAATGTAATGTATGATGGTGAGTTTTAAACAAAGGGAAATAAAATTTGAACCAAATATAAAATTGAACCACAACATATACATAAATCACTGTTTCGCTGTCTGATTTCCATTTACCGTAAAATGTTTTAGTTTTGTTGTTGCAGCGAAGATAAGCAGCTGCTTAATCAGACATTTCTGCGATAAATAGGCCTGTATTTGTTTCTGTTAACTTTATTTATGTGTAGAGTACACACTTGGAGCTAGGAGAATACTTTTGTTTTCTTGGTAAAGTAGTGTTTCATTATAACAACACTTCGCGGGGGTCAATGCTTTGAAAAAACGATGCACTCCTCAGCCACCAGATCTGTAGGTTCTCTATATAACTTCATTAAGGGATTGAAATGACTTTGCAAATCCTATCATAATTTATCATTTTGTTTTTATTTTAGAGTTGATGGAAAAGGAAAAAGGTAATTTATTTGTTACCTATAGTAATGAATCTTAGTAACTTTCATTTTGACAGTGTTTCATTAATTATTAGTCTCGTTCTTTAGTGGGGTTAAGAAACAAGGTGTATACACCATTAGCACATGACACCACACACCCAAAAATATTCTCAGTATGCCAGATTAGCACTGGTAACACACCGCGTGACACAACACATTGGATATGTATGTATCTTTGATAACAGCAAATATTCAACAATAAATTTAGTTTCATTTTCTTTATTTTATCATAGCAGGTTCTATTGACTTAAACTGATGTAAGCATCAAATTAAGAATAATGCAGCTCAATGCTTAGGAAAAAAGCTGAGTTGTTCCCCGGCTGGAGGGTGTGCATCTCTGCAATACCCTCCACAGACAGAACTTAACTAATTACTTTTTAACGGCTGATTACCGTGTGATCCAACCAGCTATTTACGGTCAAATGTTATCCGACAATAGTCACGGGAAATAATTCTGAGACGGATTAAATAATATTGTTCACGTAGTCAGGTCGTTTCTTAACTTTAGCGGAATCTGACTCAGAAGTAAACTAATTTTTAATTGTATGATGGCAGCTGAGGTTAACCGTTAGCCGTAGGACGGCAAAAATTTTGTCGTTAGGCCTAAAAATTGACAGATTTTAACCGTTGGTCGTATAAGAAGTTAAACGTAAAAAAATTTTCTTTCAACCGTAACGCATGATCTTAGAATCACATCTTCAGTCCCTTTGGAGAACTATGCGCTAGGTCCTTCACTCTGCTCTATTCAATTAGTCCTGAGTGTGGATGTAGTTACACTAATCGATTATTTCTATTGATACAGTTTTCGTCGTTTTTGCTGTAAGGTCATGCAAAGAAAAATTTTTTTTTTCTACACCCCAAAAATTCACCGATTCTGTAAATTGAACATATTAAGCGCGTAGCTGGTTAATTATAATATTCCAGTCGCTAAATATGTAGAAATCCCCGCGGGCCAGCCTCTATTTTTCATAGAAGCAATTAACGAACAAAGCTCAAAAATCTGATTTTCTTCATTTTAGCCGCGATCATGTCTGGATGTAATTCTTTTTTTTTTAATCAACAAAAGTTTCAAACAAATGAAAATTACATGGCTCTAAAAGAAGGGTCTCTTATGAGAAATATCCCTAAAAGAAATATCGCTTCTGGCTAACATCTTTGACAAAAAAATGGTTAGCTTTTATAAAAGACTACTTGACGTAACTACAAACGTATACCCCGAATCGTGTACATATCATCCAGATACCGTGTGCCGTACTCTCTACCGGGGGAATTTGAATGGTATCATTATTTGAAAAGTATTTTTAGAAAAATCAGGACGCATCTTAACTCCAGCAGAATCTGACTTAGAAGTAATTATATACTGGCAGCGCCCGTAGTCAATATGAAGTGAACGCTTGGTCATTAACTCATATTTATCATTATGTTGCACTAATAACCATATTTTAATATTTCCAAATGATGAAATGTCTCATTACATGACTCTCTGAAGACTGAGAGCTAACAACACCAGAAGAAAGGGTAGCATTATATTTTAAAGACAACCTACCCCTCTTCAACTTGCATGAAACAACCACAGGTTATTATACCCGCTAACGCATGATTTTAAAATTACATCTTCAGTCCCTTCGGAAATTTATGCTCGAGGTCCTGAAGCTGTTGAGGCATATGAGAAAGCCTTAACGGGGGGAAAGGCCTGCATCAAGAGAATACCAGTAATGTTGATCGGACAGGAGCGGACAGGAAAAACTAGTCTCAAAAAGTCCTTAAAAGGAGAAAATTTCAATGAAGAAGAGGAAAGCACAGTCGGAATAGACACTGACTCTTTATACTTTAAAGTATCAAAAGAGATTTGGAAGAGCGGAAAGGTGAAGGAAGAAGTAGAATTTGAGCCAGAAGATCAATTTGAACACCTTGCAGCAGCGAAAGTGATCAGTGAATTTTTAAGGAAACAAAGGGAAAATTTAACGGGGTTTCAGCAAAAGTCAGATTCTGACTCAGAGTCAGATTCAGAGTCTGAGTTAGAGTCTCATGATGGATCAAGCACAAACATTTCTCGTTATGGCTCAACTAAGCCCTCAAGAAATATCGAATCTTCACACGGAAAATTGCCCGAGGAAGTAGCCAGGCTGGTTGAAAAAATGCTTCAAGAGGAGGAAAATGCAAACCATGAAGACTACATCTACTCAGTTCTATGGGATTTTGGCGGACAGTCAGTATACTACGAAACCCATCCAATTTTCCTTACGGAGAAAGCTATCTACATTTTGGTGTCTGACTTAAGTCGTGATCCAGACAAGAATGCCATCCCGCCTGTCAAAACAGGACTTTTCGAGAACAAAGTGGACAGTGACTGCAGTAAAACAAACCTTGATCATCTGGACTTTTGGATGTCATCAATTTATTCCTTGGTAAGTGCAGATGTTCGAAGCTCTCAAGAGACTGCTCCGAATGTTGTGCCACGGAGGCTTCCCCCAGTATTCCTGGTATGCACCCATGCTGACGTGCCGTTTGATGGATCTAACGCAAGAGACCTCGCTTTAAAAACGTACGGCTTTCTGCAGCACAAGACCTACAAGGAACATCTGTATAAAGATGTTTTCGTCGTGGATAATACAAAGTCTGGCAGTGAAGAAGAATGTACTGAAGTTAAACGGCTGAGAGAAGAGGTGCTTGCTGTTGCGAAGGAACTGCAACTGACCAAAGAAGAAATTCCGGTGAAGTGGTTGAGGTATGAAAATAAGCTTCGCAAAAAGCATGACAAGTGGATAACACGTGAAGAAGCCAAGTGGATTGCATTTGAAGACTGCGGGATCCAAGAAGATGATGAGTTTTCCACTTTGTTGAACTTTTTGCATGATCAGAGAGTTGTGATTCATTTTAGTGGCTCTCCAGAGTTGGAAAGGATGGTGATATTAGATCCTCAGTGGCTTGTTGATGTCCTCAAAAACGTAATCAGTGTAAGACGTTTTAAACACACGGAGCATCCTGTCAAAGACCTGTGGATACAACTTGAAGAAACCGGAATCTTGGACGAAAAGCTCATTGATCATGCTTGGAGAGACTTGCTCGACAACCAAGAAAGTCACAAGAGCCTCATTGCCATCATGGAGAGATTAAGCTTGATTTCCCCCTGGCCGTCATCTAAAGACAGTAAGCAGTACCTTGTACCGTCCATGTTGATGTCACCCCCAACAGATGACGTCCTACAGCTTCTCGACTCTGTAACCGTTCCATCTCTTTTTGTAACATTTGCATCAGGTCGAGTGCCTCCTGGTCTATTCTCCCGACTTATCCTTCATTTCTTCCAGTGGTGTGGTGAAGAATGGAAGAGCAAAGTGAGCCCAGAGTTGTTTCATAATTTTTCCATGTTTCACATTCTTCCAGACCGAGGTATCTCCGTTATTTTTTGGTGCCATTCCATAGCCATTGAAGTCGCCGTTTACAGCGGAGACAATGACGAGAAAAGAGTCGATATATGCCGTGCTGTTCACTGGAAATTGAGGTTTATACTCGAATGCATGCGGAAAGAGTTTCACTGGCTCAACAACGTGAAGTATGATATGTGTGTCTGCTGCCCAGTCTGTTCTCGACCAGGGTCGGTAAAATGCCGCGACCATGACGTGCGTGGATGTGAGTGTCTACACTTCTTGTCAGAATCTGATTTGAGACAGCGTCAACATTGTAACAGACAAGGACGCAGTCTTCTTGGGGATCGCAGGATTCGGGTCAAGCAGTTTGAATGTTGGTTCTTAGGCGGAGAAGAAGGGGAGGGTGCTGGAATATCCACGAATCAGGTACGTTGCCAGTCCCATCCTCTTCCTTGGGTTGATAAGACGCTAATACTTTTTAAGTTCAATGATATTTTTATAAACTGGTTTAAAAGTGGATTTAATTTGTTTTCTTAGCAGTTGCAAGCTCTTCACACAACAAGTCATGGAGGTTCCCTCGGTGCGAAAGGCATATTTCCTATAGAAGGTAAAGATAGCTCTCTTTCATGTCATTATATCATAATAACAATGTCGTACCTAAAGAAAGAGCCAACAAGGTCCCTTCTCGTATAAGTTTAGGAGCAATTTTATTAATACAGTTGTTTCTCCTGGAACAGACTTTTAACCAACTCAAAATATTTGAGTGTCAGCAAAATACATTCCGTCTACTCTCTCATTTTTCATTTAATTACGTTATTTCAATTCGTTCTAAATCATTTTCAAGGAAAGAAATGGAAAGATCTTGCTCTGCCCGAGAGTATCAAAACCTCCATCCAGTCCATTCCACTCAACTCAGGAAGTGATGTTAAGGATATTGTGACTCAGTTTCAAGAAGCTCTGCAGTTAAAACCAGCATCTTTGGCCATTCCAGAGCCTGAGACGAAAAGTATGATTCGTGACCTCGCCCTGAGAGCTAAATCTGAGAAACGGGATGATTTGGTGAGACACTTACGAGATATTACACCTGCTGGCACTACTGGTGAGTTTGAGAAGATGAAATTTTTTTCGCACTGGGGAGAGGGGATAGGTTTCTAAGATATAAAGAAGTTCTCACACAAGCGTCCTCTCAATGCACCATTAAGTTAATGTCGACGTGAGCCTGATTTTATTGTGAAGTTGCATTTGCTGTTAATGCCATCTTGATCTGCTTTAATATGTATATTGTTTGTCTTTTTTTTACGTATTCTAAAATAAATTCAGCTATATTTATCTTCTTTTTCTGTTTGTTTGTCTCTACAGGACCTTTGTTGAATGAGGATATGTCAGTTGGTTGCATGCCATATAAACAATACGAGGATTTAACGTTCAGCCTCTCGGGTAAGGAATTAGGTTGGCGTCCGCACACCAATTTATTCATAAACTTGTTTTAATCTTTGATTGAACTCATAGGTTGTTGTCTCTCGACTCTGAAAAGGACTCTCGAAAAAACTCGGGCCTTAACAAGATTCGATTCTGCAGATGCGTTTTCAGATTATATTCCGGCTAGATTATTTTACAGTTAGCTAAATTTCGTCCGCTTTCGTCAAAACCCTTTCCAGAAGGATGAGCTGACAATAATTTAGACGAAATTTGGAGGATATCGGGCTCTAAGAAAATGTGAGCAATTTTAAGTCATTCAACCATACGGTCTACAGGTCAAAGTTCTGTTTTTCAATAGTAACACAGTTTATAAAAGAGTATAATATGTTTTTCTACGTAGGTGGAGACGAGTGGAAACTGTTGGCAGAAAGGTTGGGTTTATCCCAAATCCAGATTCGCTTTCTAGACAAGAGAGTTACGAATCCTTCTGACGTTGTCCTTAGCGCTGTGGGAAAGCATCGCCACCTGAGTGTTGGAGAAATCTATGACACATTAGTCGACTGCGAGCTACCAGCTATCGCAGATCTAATGTAAATTAGAAAATGAATACCGGAAGAAGGCGAGTGATACAGCAAGAACCAGTGGCAAGAAGCAAGGTAGCGGCCGAAGACTTATTTCCGAGAGATCTGAGAGAAAACACAGTTCCTGAGTTTGGAGTCGATAAATTATGCGTTGAGGTGCGACAGCATCATTTGAGCAGATTTATAGTTGCTCATAATTGTATGTTTGTAAAGTAAGAAAAAAAAACTTTAAATGTAGATTTTCTTTGAATTTATATCTTCGTTGTCCTTGCGTGTAGGTATATCATAAACATAAGGCCATTATGAATTGATTTGAAGTAGTTGTTGTAATTGAAACGGAGGAACTACGTAAAAAGAGCCAAGGTTGATTTATCTCCACTAACAAAGGTATAGCCTCGGATAGGGCCTGGTAAATAACATGTAACAATCTTCTATATATTGGAGTCGTGGCCTTTAATTCAAGTATATTTTCTGGCCAGTTAAATGAAATTTTTTAAAAGCACGAGTGAGTCTAATTTCTCATTTCCAGCGAAAAACAATTTTAACATTGTGAGGACATGCTGAAATAATATAGGTTTGCATTACTTTTATATCCGCATGGCTATGGCCTTGGTGCTAATTTTAATCTTTCTGAGTTTTTTGTGCATGCAAGTGATTAAAGGAACAGTAACAACAAATGTTCATTTTATCGGAATATTATTACAACATAATAGCAGGGATTTACGGCGCAGGGAAGGGATGGGATCCTCCGCTAAATAGTTCAAATAAATAGCATGCAAGACTCGTTTGAAATCTAGTCGTAAGCATCAAGTATTTCCTTCCTATTCAGAAATGACAAACTTTCTTTAACCGCGGAGCTCGAATGAAGTGACAAGGTTTCCTTGTGCATGGAACATCTCTGTATTAGTATCCAGCTTTCATATTTTGTTGACAAATACACTGCTAGAAAACAATGATCTCGTAGGTAGTAAAACATGTACACCATGAAATTCCCTTTTTGGTTTGATAAAAGAATAAGACGGTTTTTGTTTCAGAAAGAAAAAAACTCAGTTGAACATTAGATTAACCTTTCAGATTGCAGTTATTCATCTATATCTTTAGATAGAGAAAGACGTCTTGAGAGTGAAGTACACTATTGAAAAAACAATGATTTGTTGTAGTAAGTAATGCACACAGAAATATATTCGATCATCGGTTGTGCATGAATTAGATTTGAGTGTAACTGCTGTGGCAGCACATTTTATCTTTCGCTTGACCTATATGTGTATGCTTTGTATGCCAAAGTAAAGTCAAAATAAAATTGTGTGTGTTTTAGCTTATCATGTGATGGAATGAAAAAATTATTAAATAAATAAATATAAATAAATAAATGACAATTTTATATAGCGCCCTATCCAAAAGCTCTAAGGCACTTCACAATCAAAGTAAATAATAAAAATAATCAAACGTAATCATTCATAAAAATAACGCTTAAAGAGATAAGTTTGAAGATTACGCTTAAAAGCGTTGAGATCTACACTACATTTGATGGTTTCAGGAATGTCATTCCACAGCTTAGGTGCAGAGACAGAAAAGGCGCGATCGCCATAAGATTTCAACCTGGAGCGAGGAATCACTAACAAGTTCCTACTCGATGATCGTAAAGACCTAGTAGGCTTATAAGTTTCTAACAAGTCACTGATATAACTTGGGCATAAATTATTTAAAGCTTTAAAAGTAAAAAATTAGATTTTACGAATAATTCTCTGCTCCACGGGGAGCCAGTGCAGTTCCCTCAGTAAAGGAGTAACGTGATCATGCTTGCGACCACATAAGATCAGCCGTGCCGCACAATTCTGGGCTAATTGCAATCTATGAACTAAATGTTTCGGAAGACCGTATAACAGAGAATTACAGTTGTCTTATCTGCATGTGACGAAGGCGTGTACTAACGCCTTAGTACTACTAACTGACAAAAACTTTTTTAATCGGTGTATAGTAGATGATTAGCTTCGGTGTTATGCGTGCGCCATCGTCTTTCCAGTTTTCTTCTATTGCTCTTTGCAACTTTAATTTCGTCAGTAAACCATGGCGCATAAGGGCGAAGAGTACCAGACCTACGAATGATTGGGGCATGATTGTCGATCATAGATTGCAGAGTGGAGTTGAATTGATCAATAACTAATGAAAGGTCATCATTTAGAGGTGATCTAATTAGCGCGGATTCTTCCAGGTCAGAGGAGAACTTATACATGTCAATAACACTGAAACGTCGAAAAGATAACATTTGATCTTGAGCAATATGTTTACAAAAATCCAGATTACACCGGATCGTAAAATGATCAGAAAGTGCAGGATCAAAGACCAGAGATTCTTGATGAAAGATTGTTCCTCTCTAGTGATAATGAGGTCAAGAGTATGGCTATTCTTATGCGTAGAATCATTTACGTGCTGGCGAAGGTTAAATGAATGAAAAAGGCCAGTAAATCGCCGACCAGCATTATTTTGAGAATCAACATGAAAGTTGAAGTCACCAACAATCAGCAAATAGCCTGATGCCATTGCTATATAGGCAAGATAGCTGGCAAACTCATCAAAAAACAGTGACACATCGGATGAAGGAGGACGGTACAGGACAATTAAACGGACAAAATACTTCGTAGCCCTGAGTTCCAGCTCAAGATGTTCGAAAGAGCAATAGGATTCATGTGCTTGAATTTTGGCCTTGGTATTATTCTTGAGAACAATGCCAACCCCGCCACCAGTATTATGTAATCGAGGGACATGGTGGAAAACATATCCGTCTGGACAAATGTCACGGATATAATATAAATCCGAGTCATCACCACGAAGCCACGTCTCTGACAGGGCAAAGGTCGATATTGTGATCAGCTATGAAATCATTTATCAGCCGAGAGTTGTTACAAATAGATCGAGCATTCAAAAGGCAAAAATCCAAAGGTACAACGGTCGATAACTTAGACTGCAATGGATCCGGACGAATACAAATTAAGTTGTTCACATTGACACCTAAAGGGCGTGATTCACAGATTTGTAACCTTGAAGTGGCATTTTGAATATTTAATGAAACACGGTAATGGCGACGACCAGAACAAATCACAGGAATCCTAAGACCATTTCCCATTGATTTTTGCTTATTCAACCTTCCAGCACGCTTCCCCCGGTTTCTCAAAAGATCCATAGATTTTAACTTCCCCAGAAATTCAGGCGAACAGAAGTGCTTACTCCAATGACGAAGAGACAGTAACCGGTTCCTCTCGTAAGATATGCAAGAAGGTGGATAATGCTTCTGATGTCCCAGGTCAAGTCCACGAACATTGTAAGAGCTTGTAGTAAAATGGGCCGTATTATTTAACAAGGAACAACAAGGACCAGGATTTCTTTCAACGTCCATAACGATAGTTGGATCAGAGGCAGGCAGGGATAGGCACGTGAAGCCGCGTTTGTTCCAGCTAACGATTGGTCGACTTGGGTTGTAACTCGGAAAATCTCTGTGGCAAATAAAATGTAACCTCGGTATCCAACAGAAGGCTGGTTGTAGAGCACGTCCCCTACCAGTACCGACATGGTGAAATAAACTTAAAAAAACCGGAACACAGCAGCCGAATTAGACACAAATTGCGGAGAGCGAAAATCGTGGCTGCCATCATGGCGCCTGACAGGATCCAAAAACTAATTCGCTTGAAGGAAATGAAAGATGCAGTTGTACATTTTTCCCATTCCATTTCGTCAGATTCCCCTGTCTATCCGTGGTTAACCATTCATACTCCTAAATAAAAGAAAGACTTTATGAGAGAAACGAGTCTCCCACAAAAAACAGAACACAATGAGCTGAACAGGGCAACTGAAGCTCTTAACCCCCTCCCTTTCCACTTTCCACTTCTCCGCCGGTGTAAGATCAGCTAAGGTCCTTCTTGATCTATCAGTCCAGCGTTTAGTCATTGCTGATCATAAACTATGATGAACCACGCGATGCTTTTGAAGTTCATTTTATATATATAGATATAGATATAGATATTTTAATGAAAACATGTTTCAGATAAAACATCACCCATCGTCAGTTGTCTAATGAGAAATAAAATGAAATTATGTAATAAATAGTATAACAAAGTGAGATGTCAACAAGAATAGTTAAAAAAAAAGTGAAACTAGTTAAGCTAAGAAGGGTGACTAATTAGTATAAAAGGGATAAATTAATATTTTTTACTTGGGAATTTAAAGACGGCTGCTCCCAGAGGATGTGCATGACTTCCTTAATTTTAAATTGGAAGCTTGTGGAAGCAGAGTCCAGAATTTTAAAACAATCGTTTGAACAAAGGGAGCAACAATTTTCAGAACCTTTCAGGTGCTTAAAGATGTGGGAATGTTTGTCAGAGGAGAGATGTTCGCGGATGCGAGTGGCGACGTGTCTGTTGGTTTCACCAACATAAGAGGCATAACAGCCTGCACATGAAAACTTATAAATAACTTGCGATCGTAAACCCGCAGGGATAGGATCCTTGGCCCCGAACCAACTCTAAATTTTAAACGGGTGAACACCAACTAAATGTCAAGGTCACTGCAAAATGTGCTTACTAATTTCTTAATTCTGCGTTGCGCTGTGATGGAAAAAGGACCGATGTACGGTAATTTAAAATGCAAACAATTTTTCTTATGAGCAGCGCTCTGAAAAGAGTCGGAGGGGAAGTTATTGTTATGAAATTTTCTTACAACATTTTCGATGACGTTAGGAGGGAACAAATTCCTTCATAACATTTGAGTAAGGTTATTTATGCCAACTTTTAATAATCAACCCTAGCTTAACTTGAATTGAGACGGAATGGAACTAAACGATTCAGTAAGACTTACACAGATTTTCATTAACTTTTAGGGATTAGGATAGTTAATGGAGCAATTTTTTTTCCAGAAGTTACATTAATCGAATTCTCTTAACAGTTTGACTCGAATACGCATTCGCAGTCAAGAAGCGTGAGCCTTTCTGAGTTCAAACTCCATCACGTCATTTACTTTTTCACGCTCTCTGATAAAGATCATTTGAGTTTAAATTTGCTGATAAGATTCTTCCAATCATTGGAGCTAATAATTATTATGAACGCAGCTTAGTGATGTTATGCCATTTGTTCCGAGCATTGTTCCTGACAAAGGTTCATTGCTGAATATATTATAACTTTTAAGACAAAATCGTTTATTTTCGAAACAATGAATAAGAATAAAAAATGATTGTGAAAAAAAGATTTAAACTATAGAAAATCATTTTAATTATGACTTCCAACTTGATTTAAATTACACTGACAGATAAGTAACTTCCAGTTTAAGAACTCAGCATCTAGTTTCGCAATTTTTTAACTTCACCTTTATGAAACCTATGCAATGCAAGGCAATTAATGTATCAGCCCATTACGAGGCTGAGGTTAATTCCCAAAATCAGAAACGATAAAATATCTCTACAAGTTATTCTATATCACCTGTCGTACTTAATGATAAAACTTTATAAAGGCAAAGAGCACTTTTACATTTTGTATCTCCGTTTATATAAGCTACAATGACTCGGAGCTTACTTATCTTTTAAGGGTCTGTACAGGCGTGGCTGTATAGAATAATTATTAACAATCTTAAATGACCCAATTTTGCATACAAGGCGCTTCGACACTAAAGAAGTCAAACGAGAAAAGAATGGCTACTTCCTTTCCGGAGAGTTCTGTGTATCAGAGTAAATCCTTTGCAAAATTACAAAGTGCAACGAGAAAACCCTTTCATTACGATTCGAAGCATTTGTTTCTACAAGCCTACATGGGATAATTTTTTGTTCTTCATCTTTTCGCTTTTTGTTTCCTATGTAAATATTCATTAACTGCGTTTTACAAAATTTCATTGAATTATCAGTGTAGAACTTGTTGGGTATGATTTCTGCACGATCCATACTCATCATATTTCAGTTCTTAAATAAAGTAAACATTGGCGAAGCCAATAGATTGCCTTTGGGAATACGGCTTTGTTTTGAAATAGTAGGGGGCTGTGTAGGAATTTTTAGCGGCTGGTTGAGTTTATTTTATTTTTTTTTTATATATCTTACTTCTGGAAAGTCAATCATCACTAAACTTCCTAAACGGCAAGATTTGCTTATAACTCTATGTCTCGTTATACATGTAATTCGTTGATAAATGTAAACAATATTGAAAATAGTAGATTATCCCTTTGGACAAAGGCTTTGATTTAGAGTAGACTAGGGCTACACGAAAATTCCTTCCAAGAAAACTTTCATTTCATAATAATCTTCATGACCCAGTACTTTTTTAAGCTCTAAC